TCCCAACTCGCCCCTACCCCATATCACACCCCAACGCAACACCAAACCCTCCCCTTTCCCTTCCCTGTCCTCATTCGTGGAGTTGCAAATCTTCAGCTGTTTTTGTGCTTGTATCATGAAACATCATATGCCATCTCTTCCAGGTCTCTTGCCTCTTTCTCCTTCATCTTTCTCCATTCTTCAGAAGTACAATTGCAATTTGTTCACCCCTAGTCATAAGCAGTCCAGTGTAAATTATTGTACTTCAGTGGGAGTCAGTGGACCTAGCCAAACTTCCCTTTACAGTCTCACCTGTTGCATTCAGTGCAGAATCCTTCTTTCCAAGGGATGGCCAGGTAACGGTGGCTTCTGAAAGCTTCCTCTGAAACTTATGAATCTAGTCTCCAAACCAAGATGAGGATTTCAAGGGTAGCAAAAGGAATTAGGCACTTGGTTCCCTTGGCCTAACTTTCCTTTCTGCTTCAGTCTCCCCCTGTATTGGCAACTTGTCCAGAGCCCTAGAGTTGCAGGTTGCACAAAACTGAAGACTGAAGATACCCAAATCTCTAATGTGAACATAACCCCTACAGAATGGTGGATCAAGCTGAAGCATTGCGGCCTGGACCCTTTTAACCTTTGTGGGCATATAACTGTGTACACGAGTTGGGGAGTAGTTAAAACAGAGCATTGGCCACTTCAACCTGAATGGGACGTTGGATCAATAGTAGTGGGACAAAATCAATACATCCTTTAGCTCTGATGGGATCTAGTCTGATATCATCTGTGTGTCTCTGGCAGTGCTGCAGTTGACAGCTTTCCAACCTGTGTCCTGCTTTCTTGTCACAAACGTGTCTCCTACTTTTGGTTTGCTCTTGCCATCTCTGCAGCTCTGGAAGCAGATCCTTTTAGGCTATGTACAGACAGTCAAAAAACTCAAGGCTGAATTGATTCAATTTTTGCAGGTTAGTTTAAGTTGCATATATTGAACTGATAAGCAAGTGAACAGACATTCACTTGTGATTCTGGAAATGCAGCCATGTACCTGCAGTGGCCCAGGCCAGAATCCTGGGGTGCTCAAGCATGCCTCCCTGCTCAGCTGGAGCAGACAGCTTGGGCCAAGGCTAGTTCACTCACCTTGTAAGTGCAGGGGGGAGGGTTGCAGGGGAGGTGCAAAGCATCCTGGGATGCTGGGGGATTGCAAGTTAACTTGAATCCGGAGGGGGTCTGGGACACAGTCAAACCAATTTAACCTAAATCAGTTAAGTCTGATACTACATCCACCCAGGTTTATCTTAAACCAGTTTCGACCATTTTGAAAGCAGTTTACGTGCGCTAAACTTCTGGTGTGTTACAGATTTCAACTGGTTTCCCATCACTTATACCAGTTTATATGTAACTTCTGTCCCTGGCCTTAGAGCCATGCAACTGTCTAAAACGTGAAATAACTTGCATTGAAGGTTTTTAGGACAAATGTCAGTGCATTGAGAAATTGGACTCTGTGCCATGCTCACACCCATTTGCCCTTTGGTTCACTTGTAAGTCCAGCAGTTTGCTTACAAGCCATTATTATTTAAGATAGGTATCAACAATTTCTCCATCTATGAACATCTCAGGCCTGTAACTTTGTTTCCAGTATCCAGTTGTCAGCAAACCAACTAATCTTTCTGGGAAAATATTGAAAACCATGGTGCAGCTTTCAGTTAGAGAAGGGGCAAAAATGAAATTGGGCATGGATCCTGACTTTTCTGAAGCAGGAGGCTGTTGTGACAGCAATATCTAATCTCTAGTCTCAACAGGCCATGATATCCAAACACACTTGAGCCATGTACAAGCCATAAGACAGCTTTAAAGTAAGATAAACTAATATACTTGCTGTGATTCCTAGTGGTGGGACTCTGGGGTTAAGACAACTATTACAAAACAGTGCCTTGGTATTCTAAGAAAATCTTTTTTTGCTTTGGATTTAGGCCCTGGTAATGCACCTCTTGAGAAGCCTTCATTTATTCTTGCTGGTCTTTTTGCTTATAATGGCTATTATAGAGGCTGGAATATCACATTTCTCTCTTTGCTGGCTCTATTCATCACCACTGGAAAAGACTTCTGATCTTGAAATGCAGAGAAATTAGCAATGCAAGTCTATTTTACTGTTGTCTTTGTTATTGTGCCAGCATTTCTGCAGGAAAGTTCATAGCTCTAGAAAGAGCATCTTTTTGCAGAAAGCCAGTGAAGGCCCAGTAGGGGGAGCTCAGATGACTTTGCTTTTGAGACTCCTTCCCTCAACAGGGGACTGCTGGGTGGAAGGCATTGAGACTAATCCTGCAAAGAACTGAGCGCCCACATATCTTGCTGAAACAAAGTGGAGTTAAGGACTCAGTGACAGTATGCAAATGCGAGTTCTGGCTATTTTGTGAGTGTGCTGGTAATGGTTTCAGTATATTTTGGACAATACTATTTTTTTTTTTTTTTTTTAAACTGGGAATCCAGTAGACCTGTTGGGAGAAATAACTATTATAGTCTACAGTGAACACCTCGCTACTAGCATCCTGAAGAGATGCAGATTAAATAATTTTACCAGCTATGTGTCCTTCCTAATAGTTATTTGTTTTGGAGTTCTCCAAAGTAGAATCGAGTCCTCAGTCAATGTTCTTGACACTTTATTTTAAAACTACAATAGGCAGAGCACTCACTTCCAGTTCGGACTGCCATAAATAAAATGGAAATTGGCTTCTACCTACTTCCCCACTGCACATAGTTTCAGAGTCCCATGCACCATCATTATTTAACCATCACTAGTTTCCCATCTTCTCGAAGGACTGGAGCAGGCCCTGGGGAGGAAGTGAGCTCGAGATCTAGAACCTGGGCAGACTAGCTAGATTTTCCACACCCTTGCTACCAATTTGCTTCAACTTGAGCATCTCTCCTAAACGCAGCAACGGGAGCACGTTCAGGGAAAGAACAGGTGGATCCTATGCTGTTGGTCCAGTGGTGCTCAATCTTTTGATATGACAATCCAGATGAGTGGGGCAGGCAGGTCTGTGGGCAAAACTTGGCACTGTGTGTTAGGACTGGGCTCTGGAGCCCAGCACCACCCCTTCCTTGCCCTGTGCTCTGTGATTTGGTCCCCAGGGACTGGCATTGCTCCCTCCCACCCCAACATGCCAGAATTGGCCTCCTGGGGCCTAGCATCACCCCCCTCCCATGCCAGCACATTGGGATAGGTTCCTGGGGGCCCAATGCCAGTCCCCCTCATGTCAGGATCGGGGCCTGGCTCCACCCCACACCCAGCCCTGCACACAGGGATTGGGCACCAGACCCAATGTGCAGGGCTTGGGGTTCCCTATGGGTCCAGAAACTTAGTGGGTGGGCCCACATATCCAGACCCGTGGGGGCCTCCAAGGGCCAGGTGATGTGGGCTGGGGGTTGAGCACCTGAGCATCCCTGCTTTAATCTTCTGAGATGAAACGAACATGTTAAAACCCAGTCTGGACAGCGACAGGCAGCCAGTGCAGGTTGCAGGGCTTGGATTAATCTTAGAAAGGGAGATGCTGGTTAATGAGTAGTCTGTCGAAAGCTGCAGCTGCTCTAGTTACATTTAACAGCGGCTCTCAGTACTGTTGTTGATTTGCGCCCTTCTTTGTTCACCTTGTGTGATTCACCAAACCGCAGAACAGCCGATCCAGAAAAGTACTGCTGTTTCTCCAAGACTTCTTTTGGCCTTGGAGTAAACTGGTTTCTAACTGGAAACTCCCTCACCTTTATCTGGCAGTATCTGGGGTAGCCACTTCATTGGTAAAATGTGCTGTGTTTGCCCTGAAGCTTTTGAAGTTTGGCCTTTGCTGTGGGAGAAGTATAGGTCTTTCAGAGAGAAGTCTGCTTCCACAAGTGGCCTGGTTATGAGTGCCACTGTATTCACTTAAATATGGATTTTGTGACACTTCCAGTGACCTGCTACATGCCTGCCCTTTATACCAGCCTATGCAAAGCTGGCATGAAGGCCTTTACCATGCTCATGCAAGGTACAAAGGCCGCCAGCCCTCTCTGTTGTCTTGATGTTGGCCATTTCATACCTTGTTTTAAGGGGAGTGGGTTTTCTGGATGGTAAATGTTGTCTATAGTGGAAGTGGCAGGTGGATCTGAAAGGCCATGTTCTAGCTATGATGCATCAACGCTTCAGTTGAATAGATGCAATACAGTGGAAGGCATGCGAGGAATGCTGTGATGTATTTTGAATAGGCCTGTTTTTCAGTAATAGCATTGAGTTCTTGATGCAACATATTGTGATACAGAAGTGAACAATATCAAACACTGACTTAGTGTCCCAGAGGTGCAGTGGAGAGGGCATCAACTGAATTTTCTACAGGTTATTTAGGTAATTATCATGGGAGCTGGAGGAAAGGAAATAAGAGGTGCCAGAGTAATCTTAAATTAGCTCATAATTCAGTAAATAAATATAGTGGGGCTGGTGCTGGCAAATCAGGGTGGGGGGTGTGCACATGCACAACATTTGTTGCACACTTCTAGCATTTTACTTGCGGAGTGTAGTCTCCCACTGAAAGAAGGAAGAAAGTTGGGGGAAGGGGGACAGGGTGAGGACAGGAAGGAAAATTAGATTTACCTTTTTGTACCTGATAACTATGTAGGCAGGCAAGGTTCCTGCCTATGTCCTTAGACCAACATGGCTACAACCAAAAATCCTCATAACTATATAAGCATTTTAGGCTGAATGCCTCTTCTCTGCACCACAGCTTTAGCAGATATTTTTTCCAACATATGTTGTTGAGCTGATATAGTTTCGAGACCTCAGCTATTTCACAGCTTATGGAGGCAGACTAACATTATATGCATAGAAGGAACCAAATAAAGTATAAATCACTACTGTGGTGTGGGCATTGGGAATCTAATATCAGGCCCTGTAAGCAAGTCAAAATGACAGTGTGCTAGTAGCAGGTGTTATATAAAGGTTTACGCTGCAAGGGAACCAGTTATCTGCCCTTCCTAATCAACATGTGTTTGTTTGGCAGAGACTTGATGCCCAGGACCCTGGACGGGCAGATCACCATGGAGAAAACCCCCAGCTACTTCGTCACCAAGGAGGCACCCGCTCGTATCTCCGCCATGTCAAAGGGCACCAAGCTCATCGTAGTCGTAAGGGACCCTGTAACCAGAGCCATATCTGATTACACACAGACTCTTTCTAAGAAGCCTGACATCCCCACCTTCGAGAGCCTGACCTTCAAAAACAGGACTACGGGACTGATCGACACCTCGTGGAGCGCCATCCAGATTGGCATCTATGCCAAGCACCTGGAGAACTGGCTCCTGTACTTCCCCATCGGGCAGATCCTCTTTGTCAGCGGGGAGCGGCTGATCAGCGACCCTGCTGGGGAGCTGGGCAGGGTCCAGGACTTCCTGGGCCTCAAGAGGATCATCACAGACAAACACTTCTACTTCAACAAAACCAAGGGTTTTCCGTGCCTGAAAAAGGCTGAAGGCAGCAGCAAACCCCACTGCCTGGGGAAGACGAAAGGCAGGCCCCACCCCGAGATAGACCAGGAGGTGGTGCAGAGACTGCGGGACTTCTACCGGCCTTTCAACATGAAGTTCTACCAGATGACTGGGCACGACTTCGGCTGGGACTGAGGCTGATGCAGTCGCTCACCTCTGTAATTACCCGTGTGGCACGGTTTGCTTATATAAAGAGATATATGTATGTAAAATGTACAGAAATCTATTTTATAATAATTTATTTTTAATTCTTAAGCAATTAATTCACTAAGCTGCCTAACCACACTGGCTAGAATGTTAGCCCATAACCTGTTTAACATTCCACGGTATTTTATTCTAATGTCTTTTTATTTGGCTGTAATTGGTGCTTCCATTTTTCCTAAATAAAATTTAGTATTTAAATAAGGGGATGGGAGGAGGGGGGCGGGAAAAAGCACAACTTTATTTTTGTTACGGGTATTAGGCCTTTATAAATGCTCTCATCTTACAACTCCTAAGTCTGTTCCACTAGTGTTCTGTTTCCCCACCCCTACCACACACACTCTTCTGCATTAGATCTCTTTTTGGTTAGCCATGTTCCTTTGGGCCATCAGAATAATCCTGGGTTAGGGAGAGGTTACACTACTTTGGAACAGAGTTGTACCTAACATTGCAGCTACTTTACAGGAGAGGTGTGATGTGCAAAACCCATCATTATTCAATATTTCTTGTCCCAAGCTGTATAGCTGCTAGTGCTGAGAGTCTGCTGCTTTTTTTTCATTTTTTTGTTTTAGTGTTCTCCATAGGCTTTGCTTGGTGCAAAAGCTTCACTTATGGAAAGGAGCAGCCTCTGTCCAAGAGGAGAGCAGGTTCATCAGTCTTTCAGTTTTATTTTAATGGGGAGGATTACTCCCTCATGCACCATACGCCATGTGCCCATCTAGAACACGTTTCTGGAAACTCTATGCATTTCTTTCCTAAACTTAATCTTGTCCTTGGTAAAGAGATGACATGCTTATTGCTGATCTGAACTACTCAAGAATAAATGAATCTCCCACTCATGTGCATATGCACATATAGTGGAGAACCCATTCTAAAAAGCACTAGTCTAGTATGCAAGCAGAGCAATCTGCTTAGATGCACCAAAGAAATCAATAGAACTACAGGAGCCATTTCAGGGGGACGGGAGGGAGGGAGGGTGGGATCAGTCTCAGTGCTCATTAGTGGCAAAGAGATAAAGTAAGGCCCTGCTGCCACTTACTGTAATTGGAGATCTGAGTGGGTCACCAGTGGAATTAGAGTGGGCCCTCAGTTTTGTCCCTGTTGGATGTTGATTTGTCTACATCACTCTTCGGTGTAACCTCTTAGCCAAAGGCCCATTCTCAAGGGACTGCTGCTAAAGTAGGAGAAGGTGATCCCAGGCAAGGTTCAGAGGAATCCATAGAACCATGCAGGGAAATGTATACACTACTTGCTGCCTACCATTGCTGCTGGACTCGTTCATGGCAGTTACTTTTCCAGGAATTTGGGGTTAAGAGACCCAGAATCAAACACCAGTGAACTGATGATAGCGCTGTTCTTACTCAGAGAAGTAACTGCTCTGTTCTGCTGGATAGTGAGGATAAAATAAGAACCCAGTTTTTGCTCTTTTTGCTGAATGCCTTCTGAGGACATGAGCTTTCCAGATCCAGGTTTCTACTCTCCCAGTTTCTGGTGCCAGTCAGGAATGGAAACAAAAATGTTGAAATGCACTAGAACAGCTGCTTTTGCAGAATTTCCAGCCCATGCAGAAGTAGCTAGTGAGAGGGAATCCTTTTCTAAGGAGAGTTCTGGCCAAGTTTTGCAGACTCAGGTGTTCTGGATAATCTTCCTACATTTTCAGTGTCTTTGCTGAGCTGAAGCCCACTTGTCTTTAATGGACCTTTCAGTCACGTAGTGATTGCAGAAAAGTCTTGCAATTGCAGAAAAGAATAAAAGCAAAGCTGTGCCATCATTACTGTGCAGCTACAGGGTAAATGCACACATATATATATTTCTATAGTTTCTAACACGGAGCATAGGTTTCATTCAGTAAGTTGTATAAATCGAGCATTATGCAGGAATGTTTCAAATGTATGTAGTAGGAGTACCATGGTATTTGCTAAATAAACATGCTGATGTTCCTGCATGAGTACTTGCATAATATGTGCAGTGTAATAAAACTGTAAAAATCCTGTGTGGATAATACTGCAATAATAGCAAGTGAACTAATGGGCAAACAATACACGACTTTCTTTGTGTTGATACACTAGTTTCATGTGTGTTATCCATATAACTTAGTCTAATTTCCACCCCTGTTCCTCCCCCATCCACAGCAAGTACAGTTGTAATCCTGTGTTACTAAACAATGCCCAGCTGTGGCGGTGTGTGTTCTGTGGCATTCCCCAGATATGGCTTTTACTTTAACAGTCTCTTTGCTTTTGCCTGTCCTATACAGCTGTCTCTACAGCTGTTTAATGATGAAAAAGCAGGCACAATTTTCCTTCAGCACAATTCAGTTAACAGGCCTCTGCTCTCTCTGGGCCTAATTCTGAGCAGGTTTACACAAATGGAACTGAGATCAACAATCTGGCCCTCTGGGTCTGTAAGCAAGAGAAGCAGTAAAGTGTTGTCCTTAAGAGCAGATTCAGTTATATTCCTATTCCAGACCTAAGGTCTGCTCAGTTTAGAGCCCCGATAAACCCTTGGGTTAGTTTCACTCACGAGTGGTGTCGGGACATGGGAAGTAACAACGTTTAGCAATGTCACTGGGGTGGAGAAGACCACATCAAGATCAGTGAGGGACGAGAGAGAAGTATACAAGTTTGCCCTTTCCAGAGGCAAAAATCCCCTGGTCCAGAGGGAGATACAGATGCTTAGCACAATCTAATGTCTGCCATTGTGTGAACAAATTTTGTATTTGCCTTTTAAACCTTTCCTACTCCAAATGGACAGTGACATTTTGACAGGTGGAAATGGGATTGTTTCATGGCTGGTCCTGGTTTGCCATGGGCAGTTCCAACTATACAATTGCACCACCTTGGATCAAGTCAGTCAATTTTAGAAGTCGTATAAAGGAAGTCTTTATGTGGTGTCCAGTTTGTTGCAGGTAATATATACAGTGCAAAGCAAGGCATAACATTCAGATGCAAACTTTTGACAAATCTGAGGGGCATTTTGGATTTAGACACGTTTGGTTGGGGTTCTATTTTTTTGGCTTGGACTCTGTAGAGAAGGGGTGTTAGGTCCTATCTCTAATACTAAGTACTAAATACACTAGCATGTCCAGTTTACCATAAAGGCCTACTAGCCTGAAATTGTTGAATAATTGAGAAAGTGTTTACTTTGGAAAAGTAGTACTGTACCAGAAGAAACTAGTTATTACAGACACTTGTGTCTTCCTACTAGACAGTTTATGCAGTGTGTGGAATTAAGTCTTTTGTTTCTTGTTCTCCAAGGCAACCAATCAAGCTCTCCAGCTGCTTATTCAGCTTTCATGAAAACCGTGTCACTTCATGGTGATGTGATGGCATTGCCCAAGCATTTGATATCTTCTTCCCTCCTCCCCCTCCAATACTTGGCAAAGTTCTGCCATGTCTTTATTTTATTTCTAACTGGTTTCTTTAAGAGTTGAAGATCCTTGGTAACTATAAGCATCTCCTAATACCTTCCTCAACTGTATGGAACTTGTCACAATGTTGACTTAGGGTCCGTTTCTTCTTTTTTAGGTTGAGCCTTGCTTCTGAATAGCTACATGAGATAACCAGGTTGGATTATAGAAGTACGTAAAGTTAATATTCTTTTAAATACTTTTAAGCAAATTGCTAATCACAGCTGAACATCTTTTGTAACACAGTCTATATGGGCTTCTATAGATGAGTTCCTAGCAGCGGGAGGAAGGGGAGGCACTTTAATTAGTATAGCTCCAAGAGCCGCGCTAATTAAAAGCACCCAGAGAGTCATGCATCAGAATCTCCACGCTGAAAAATGGTGGCCGGGCATTTGAACTAAAGCTCATTGAACAAGCTTTAGTTTAAGGCACCCTACCACCATTTTTCAGTGCGGGGACGCTGATACGTGTGATGCTGGAGCATGGCAATTGCCACGCTGCAGCAGACTCAATTAATCGAGTCTGCTCTGACACTGTAATTACAGTGCATTGGAGCAACCTCCCTACCCGTGTATAGGAGCCCTATGAGACCAATTACCATAATACGAAAGGCCAACCAACATGGCAACCAAGATGAATTCCTTTACAATATCCATCTGGATTGTTAATACTGGAGTCAATATTATCTTTTTTGTTTTCTTAAGAAAAAATTAAACTCAGAGGTGTGGTTAGAATTTTTTTTTCATATTGTAACATTAATTTATGGCTGAGTTTCATTCAGCCTTGTATTCAGAAGTGCAGTACAGATATTAGCGATTTGTTGTCTGTAATATGGTACGGTAGACTAGCCGGTTTGTTTAAAAAACAAAACATAAAAAACCCTGAAAAAAATAAAAAAACAAAAAAAACCCAAAAAACAAAAACAAACCCAACAAAAAGCCCCAAACAAAAAAAGGCAAATCAAGTATTTTGTGGTATGTACAACACAAATTAATTTTACACAAAAATGTTTCTAGGAAAATGGAATTCTGATAATTCATACTATTTGTATGAACAAATAAAATATATTTTACCAAATCATGGACCTATTTGTTTTCATTTGGATGTCTGGAGGTAAATGAAGAACATTATATTCCATGTTTATTTTTAGTAGCATTTTGGGTCACCAGTATCTGATTTGCCATCGGGTACTTGCAACTGTAATTGGTATGGTATCACTTCCATTGTTTATTTTAATAGCATTTTGGGTCCAGTGTTTATTTTAGTAGCGTTTTAGGTCACCAAGTATTTGATTGCCTTCAGATGCTTGCAACTCCCATTGGTGTCAATGAAATTTCATGTTAGCATATGGGCACTGATTCAGCAAAGCATCAACGCGTGTGTTCAAAGTCCAATTTAAATCAGTGGGATTTAAGCATATGCTTACGTTCCTATCCTGAACAGAACTACATTCCTGAAGAGGTGGCCTCTAATGAAAAGGCACATGCCAAAGTGTTTTGCTGACTTGTAACTATTAAAACTGTCCCAACTCCTGTTCAAAATGCATACTAGCTTCAATAGTGTACAACTAGGCTTTTAGGGGGCTTGCCCTTTGAGGTGTTTACTGCTCTCCGCTCTTCAAAGGAAAGTGAAGAATACTCCGTACCTTTTAAAAAATCAAGACCAGAGCAGGCAATTTGGTCTCTCTAGCCAGAATCAAGTTCCATTGATAAATGAGTTGGGATTTCAGAAGAGTTCCTGCTAAGTAATATGTAGTAAGTACCCAGAGCAACGTGTAAGGAACATTAGAGACACCATTAAGAAAGCCATCACAATTTAATTGAAATGATAATTTATTTTTTTCTTAAAATGAATTTTGTACTTGATACTACTTTCATTATAGGCAATGGGAATTTTATAATTAGCTTCCCTCAAGCAGGACTTGGGTCTTTGGTGTTACTGGGTTTGCTGTGTTAGGGAAGTAGGAAAGTGAGGTCTTTTATTCAAACCTGGAGTTGCCTAAATAGTGTGGATACTCTTCTTAGTTTGAAGTTTCCCAAGTGTACTTCTACTCCTGTCCAGAACTTCTCCAGATTGAACAGGGATGAAGATTTTGACACCTAGCTCATACCTGCAGCCATTCTGAATCCAGAAATGAGCTTTTCCTCCACCTAAGTCCCCCTAAGGACCTTGAGCCAGTATGTGTTTTCAGAGCATTGCTACAGATCTGGAACCTCACAAAACGGGTCTTTGCATAGTGACACAGTTTCAACAGGAGGACTGCAGAGTGCACCAGGTGGTTAAGGCATTATTTTGGGAAATGAGATGTAGGTTTGAACCCCTTCAAGCTCAGTAAGAAATTGGCCTTGGGTAGTTTTCCAAGCAAAGGTTTCTAACCACCCCCCTTGATATAAAGAGGGAAGTACCACTGATCTTCCTGCTCAGCAATTTGAAACATAGTCCAGTCCAATGGTTCTCAACCAGGGTACCTTGAGATCATTTCAAGAGTGCCTCACAATGTTAGCACTGTTAGATGTAAACCCATACTTTTCAAATAGGAATCCATACTCT